TACAATATCAAGTGCATGAAAGCAGCCACACATGTCACGGGATGCTGCAAGTTCTGTCGCACTACCCATCCGTGCGGTTCTGGAAGCCCAAGAATGACCCAGTGGATTCTTGGATCGGATCACTGGATTAGTGCAAATGCTACTTGCGATGGCCTCCAACCCAAGAGCAAACTACTATATTCTATAGAACGAATAACATTGACTGCAGTGGATTGAGGGATTTCTTGGTCCAAACCAATCACGTTTCCAGTGATTTCCAATATAGAATATATAGTTGCACATCAGTTCCACGGGAGGTCGCCTGTACACTGAACATGTAGCCTGAGGCATGTTGCCTGAGCCTGACCTACCAAAAACTCCCCAAGTTCCAGCGCATGTTTCTGCTTCACATCACCTCTTGATGAGTCAAAAATGTACCAAAACTACAGCCTTTGAAATCTACCTCCGACCGACGTGGTGTGGATGGTATATACACTTAGTACACCAATTATACAAGCATAGACCCCAAACAGCTTCAAAACGATTCGTTTAAACCAATATTAGTCAATAATCGATTTCTTGGTACGCTCTACCTTCTCCCCAAGAGCAAACTACTTCATCAATGAATTTTTGTCGGCATTGACATCGCTATTTGTTCGGCCACACTCCTCTCCAGGAAACCGGGCCACAAAAGACCAGCCACAGAGTTCAGGGGCGCAGCCAAGACAAGGACAAGGAGGACAAGAGGAGGACAAGACCCGGACACAGAGCCGGGCCACAGAGCCCAGCCACAGAGTTCAGGGGCGCGGCCAAGACAAGGACAAAAGGAGGACAAGAAGAGGACAAGGCCCAGCCACAGAGGACAAGAGGAGGACAAGGCCTGGACACAGAGCCCAGCCACAGAGTTCAGGGGCGCGGCCAGTGAGTGTGGCCAGCTCTTTTTTTCTAAGATAGAACTCCAACAGTAAACTGTTTGGGGAAAAAATCCTTTCACATGCGATGCAGTAATAAGTTTCCAAAGGTCAACTGCCCTGATGTTGGATGTCCACATATGTCCACAATTCCCAAAGTCAATGAATCCACAGTCACAGCTGTCCTCGATTGCTTTCTTGTCATCCTGGCGAGCAGAAATCAAAAACACCTATATAAAAATATTCTGAATGCAATGAATGAACTGAAGTGGCAAGTGGCTAGAAGAATTTGTTGTCAAAGTGAAGAGCTCGGAAGCTGTGAGGATAGCTGAAAAAGTTGCATTCAATCCTGGCTTTGGAGAGGGACCAATGTTCCTCCCAGGCAAAAGACCAAGTCAGAGCGGAATGGACAAAGAGCCAGCACTCTCGTGCTCCATCTTTTCAGAAGAGTTTGCAGCACTGCAAATCAATAAATAGAACTAAGTAGCACTTTACCAACGAAAGAAAACCATTCCAATAAGCTGTGCCCCACAAGCGCCTCGGGCTCATCATCCTGGCCCCAAGGGTTGGTTTGTGTGTGTGTTGAACATCTTGCCACACAGCACTTTTCATATAATGACTGATGTACAGTATTTCATAGTTCTTTGGCACAAAATAAAGGTCTGGTCCTATGATATGGTGCCTTGTGAAATCATAAGGAGCGCTGCTCATTGCAAAAACGAGATTGCTCCGTTCTCTCGGATGCGAGGTTTCTCTGTTCTCCCCAAGATTCTCAGTCATTACTGAGTCATTACTGTAATCATCCCCATTCTCCGTCGTCCCAACCTTGGCAACGATCTTTTGGTACAAGGATTTCAACGAGCCACTGTTGATGCGCCATGCGACCTCGTCATCTGCCATAGTGTGGTCTGTGATATGCAGCGAGCAAAACACTGAAAACTCCTACCAAAAATCTCAAGACCTTCCCAGTTGAAAGCACATCAAAATGCGGGTCATGCTGAAGCTGAAAGCCAAACCAATGACTTACTGAAGCCGCTTGAGTGTCCTCCGTTCGCAGTGTATGACTCTCACGAGAAGTGGGACATGAATGAATATAAATGTTCCCTGTGCGAATTCGACCTTTCACATGGACATCTTTATCTTTAGGGATCCCACTCTGTGCCGAACTGCTGCTCTCTAAAGAAGCAGCATCCATCAGAGAAAAGCCTAAAAAATGAGTTTAAAAGTACCAGCACTAAAGAATCAGACCTGCTCAACCTCAAAAAAATAAGACCATCATCAACCTAAAGAATCTGACACTCTGTGTTAGAGTCGAACTGTTATGAACTGTCATGAACTGTCATCACCTTCAGTGGTCAGTCCAATGGGCTTCACTAAAGAATCAAACACTGATACCTCGAGATTTCAAAGTGCAAACCCCCAGGTTCCAGTTGAAGCAAAAAAGGGTGGTTGTACCAATGGTTTGTGTTCTTTATGACAACCCCGGTTGGTCAGTTGTTTAGGCTAAATTCGAAGGAGGATTATAAATGGTGTAATTGTACTGCACAGTTTTTAGATCGATAACATGTTCTTGCTTTCAGCATCACCCGCAGTGGTAAATCTACATGGATTGTCCATCGTGCACAGCTGGCCTGCTTGGCACGCAAGTCCAAATCTTCCTGGGTGGAAGAGTAGTTCCTCAGCCAAATCAAGAACTCCCTGAGCATGGCAATGGATTGGATGATCCTTCTCAATCTTTCATCTGGCACGTAACACCTGCAATAAATGTGTTACGCAAAGATTGGTTGGGCTTTCCAAAAAAACATCATGGCTCCAGCAATTTGTTACATTAGAATTCCATTACCCTCCAACATCCCTCTCGCAGACCCCAAGTCGCCATAAGACCTTCTTTTCCCAATCCACCTGATTCCGAACCCCACCAATGCCGCTGCCATCCGCCCAGAATGAGCCAATGCTGAAAGTGCTCAGAAGCCAAGCCACTGTGGAGAGAAGACCACGGCAATCTCTTGGAAAACAGCCTCAGCCAGTAGGGCGGGAGCGTTCGTGAGGCACCTTGCGGTTTTAGAGGATACGTTCATCAACTTTTTTGATATATTAAGCATGTGGCCCTGCCTCCTTAATTAAGTAGGCGCCTATACTATACTTACTTAAGGGAGTAGCACCACTTCTGGCTACTGAAGCTACAGACTGGACGCAGGAAGCCCGCTCACGGTTCTTCAAGGAAGCTTCCCCTGCCACCCTAAAGGCGGTTGAGGGGAGAAGCTTCCTTGAAGAAGCGCTTTCGCACGAATCATTTGGTTCCGTTCGTAGCGATGCCCTTGCTCCGTTCGTAGTAAGGCCAGGAGCCCCGTTCGTAGCGTCCGATTGCTCCGTTCGTAGCGATGCCAGGAGCCCGTAGCAGCAAGGCATATATTACAAGCAACTCAAAACCGTAACTTGTCACTCAGGGTGCTGATATGGAATTAGCGGCACTGGCGTTTTACGACTGCAATTCGAACGACGTACACTCATTGGAAGGATCCATCTGAGCCATTAGACCAAACATGCATGCATAGTCATGCGCGACCCTTTTGATGTACCTTTGATGATTTGCCTGACACTTCCACTTGTCACTGCAAGCAAGTAGCCTTGATTGCCTTAATGTAGATCCTTGGTTCAGAAAATTACAATGATTCAAAGGTGGACACACTCAGCACCACTCAAGGCAAAGACACGCTTGCGCACCTGTTGAAGAGGCGACAGCATGTTTGTCAATTAGGTGGTAGAAAGGTCTGACTGATCTCTGAGTCCTGGGACTCCTGGGACTGGGACCCGTTGCCATCAAGACTTCTTGTTGCAGGAGCCCCTAGTAGCGTCCTTGCTCCCTAGTAGTATGGCCAGGAGGCCCTAGTAGCGTTCTTGTTGTTGTTCAAACACACATGCAGTCCCAGCCCTTAGAGCCCCAATCTGCTGAACCCGCAAAGACCCTGGAGTTAAAGGCCCAACTTGGAGTCGCCAGCCGCCACTTTTATATGTGTGTGTGTGCGTCCGTGGCCGAATCCAACAGCTACCAACTACTTTGATAGGTGGGTGCCTGGCTCTGGCAGGCTGGCTAATTCGGCCGAGGACCAGGAGTGCAGGGTTACCATACGGGTTAATATAGTGTTTCTATAATATACAGTATATATATATATATTTTCTATATAGATATAATATATAATATATACTTATAATTATATATATATATATATATGTGTGTCTACGTAACATAACTAACTGAAATCGGGGCATTCACAAAAAGACACCTGAAAATCAGCAGAACTTTCTTATTTACAGCAACCAACACTGTCGGCATTGTCTTTTCTTTCCAATCATGTGTCGCTTGGATCTGGCTTTTAAGCTTTCTGAGATAATCGGCATCAGGATAAGTCTCAACCAAAGATCCTTCCCGAAACGTTCTCGGTTGACACGCGTTAAGTAACAGACTCAGACTACACCAAAAAATTGGGTTTCAAAGTACCAGCAAAACTACATTGATCGGCCTCAACAAGGGACGTGCCTGAAGAGTTGCTCTATGTTCGCCGTAAACTGTTACATCTGTTAGATCTGCCGAACAAGTGCGAGCTTCTTCAAATCCAACATCTCCAGCTGCGGCATGGAGCTGATCTCCTTGCCACATCCGGAATTGAACCTATGTCCCGTTCTCTTGAGATTTGCATGGCAAAGGTGGCACAGATTTGACCACGCAAAATCATTGCAGCCAGCATATTACAGCTATTTACCATGAACTCAGCCGCTCCGTGCCCTCACATGGAGCTTTGCCTGATATGACACACGAGGTTGCCATGGCTGTCAAAGAATTTGACATCCATATCTGGGCCCCAGTCAATGTGTGTGGCTACAGCATCATCGACCTGCTTTGCCCTCCAAAAAACACGAAACTCCAAACAGTTTTGCAAATAAATACCCTGCAGATCCCTGCATAATCTGAGTAAAAGTGTTCAAGTCCAAACACGAATATGCCGGAAGGGCACCTCCAAAATCAAATGCACTATACCTGGCCAAGGTTTTAAACTACGGGTGCAAGCCCACCAGTTCGGCTACTGGAGTGATTTACGTGCTTGAGCCACCTCAATCTGCATTGAGTCTACGCTCCAACATCCTTTCGACCTTCCGCTCCTCATAGTAGGAAGGCGATGGGAAGCGGAAGCCATCCTCTGCGATGATGGGTAGCACGCAACAATCGGGCAACTTTGCCACTTGCATCAGCCAGTCCTCAATGCGGCCGGACGCTTTGCTGCCCGTTGCGTGGAAGAGTATACATCTTGTCGACTGCTTGTAGCCCCAACAAGGAATGAACAGGTCAATCAACAATGTGCCTCAACAATGTGCCTGGCCATTTTTCTGGCCACATTATAGACGGCAATTGTGCCCCTTTCAGAACAATGATTCATTCACCGAGCTGCTCCAAATTGGAATTGCTTGAAGCACCCCTCGCTGCAAATCACCAAAGCGGAGCACGCGCTGTTCGGCACAGATCGGTCCTTGCCAGTGGCCCTTTATTGACCTTTCTGGAACTTTATGAATGGCCTCCAACCCAATAGCGATGGCCTCCAACCTAAGAGCGATGGCCTCCAACCTATGGCCCTTTATGGACGAAAGCCTGCATTGAAAATGCATGTAAATGCACTGATTCGTCATCTCCCAACATGTTCAATTGACAGTGAGATGCTACAGTAGGTAGCTCTAACATAGCAAAGCCGCCATAGTAATCCCAAGCAAATTGCAATACGGTGATCAAATGTACTCTGAGCTTGTTCAAATCCAGTTCTGAGCTTCTCACCTACTCACACACGTGGACAGAACTCATCAAGTTGACAGGTCGGAAACTTCGGAGAGGTCAGTGTTTTCGGACCGGCCTTCTGCAGCACTGCAGGCATGTTGTTCTTCTGGCCACCCACCAACTTGGGAACAATCAAGCCCAACAAGACATAGGCGGTGGCTGCAGCCTTAAAGACCCAAGGAACCATGTGGAACAAATGCAAAAGGCCAGTACCGGGAAGCGTGCCAGGTCCCAGATCTTGTGTCATGCCGTCATGCCCTACTGAAAGTCTTCTGATTTTGGGTGAGTGCAATGAGTCGTCAAAAGGATCCAGGACTCATCAAAGCCACAAGAGTGCGATTTCAGGATTCATCAAAACAACACAATTTGCAGAATGCACTGGACCTGCTGTACCTGTTCCTTTTCTGAAATTGCAGGCTAGTTTGGGTCACAGTTGTATTCGGAAACTAAACGGTTGTATTCGGAAACTGGGACGATTGAATTCGGAAACTAAACGGTTGTATTCAGACACTAAAGGGTTATACTCGGAAAGACTGGGACGGTGGTATTCGGAAACTGGACGGTTGTATTCGGAAGCTGGAAGGTTATATTCAGAAACTGCAGAAAACTACATTATATGTGGAAACTGGTATTCGGAAGACTATTCGGAAGCTGGACAGTTGTATACGGAAACTAAACAATTGTATGCGGAAACTGGAGAACACATCAACCTTCCACGCAACTACCCGCCTACCAATAAGTTTGTTGCCCCCTGCCCCGACCCCACCCCACCCTTTCATCCTAGACAACACATCAACTCTCCACGCAAGTAAACGCCATTAAAGTTTTTTATTTTACACAGTTTCTGAATACAAGGAAATAGTTTCTGAATATAAGGAAATAGTTTCTGAACACGACGAAATAGTTTCTGAATACGACGAAAATAGTTTCTGAATACAACAACAATATAGTTTCCAAATACAAGGAAATAGTTTCTGAATATTAGGAAACAGTTTCTGAATACAACGAAATAGTTTCTGAATACAACAACAATATAGATTCTGAAAACAAGGAAATAGTTTCTGAATATAAGGAAAAAGTTTCTGAACACGACGAAATAGTTTCTGAATACACCAACAATATAGTGAAATAGTTTCTGAATACAAGGAAATAGTTTCTGAGTACGACGAAAATAGTTTCTGAATAAAACAACAATAGAGTTTCTGAATACAAGGAAATAGTTTCTGAATATAAGGAAACAGTTTCTGAACACGACGAAATAGTTTCTGATACAAGGAAATAGTTTCTGAATACGACGAAAATAGTTTCTGAATACAACACCAATATATATAGTTTCTGAATACAAGGAAATAGTTCTGAATACGACGAAACAGTTTCTGAATACGATGAAAATAGTTTCTGAATACAACAACACTATAGTTTCTGAATACAGGGAAATAGGTTCTGAATACGACGAAATAGTTTCTCAATACGACGAAAATAGTTTCTGAATACAACAACAATAGTTTCTGAATACAAGGAACTAGTTTCTGAATATAAGCAAATAGGTTCTGAATACGACAAGCATAGTTTCTGAATAAAACGAAATAATTTCCAAAAACACGTTTCTGAATACAGTGTACAAAGCAGTTTCGGAATACGACTTTGTTCGCTAGGTTGACATGACTTACATAACTCATTGACAATCGAGAGGTTGATTCCTCGCCGGTAGCTTAAGCAATGCGCGCACTTCAGTGAAATGTCTGGTCTTTCTTGGTGCCTCCTGCGTGACAATTTAGCAAACTCCTTTGTGCAACAAGAATCTGGGAGGCACGTGCTCTGCATGTAGACAAATAACATCAAAGCTATTGGATGATGATCATTTCCCAGGCTAAACCAAGTCAACATGAATCAAGGAAATGGGTAAAGAGGTTGCTCCAAGAATTCTATGATTCAATGAGGGCAATCTAGTTTCATGCTACTCATGAAGCTCTATGCAGCGCTTGAAACCTTGTTCTCAATAATTAATTGCTTTCTCCATCTTTCTCCTCTAAAGACTGCCCACCTCCATGTTGTCAAGATCCGACACAATGATGCAATCTGGTGACCTAAGATCCGCTATTATAGTGAATCTTCATCTGCTGAGTCAGTCATGCAAACAGGGACGCATCCTGGCTGGTGTAGGTGAACACTTCGTTCCACTAGGGAAGCAATCGCAGTTGCAATATGTTGGGCTCAATGGAAGCCCAGCGGCTCACGAGTATCTGCAATTGAGCGAGTTCGTTGCGTTCCCGTCAAGTTGCCGCAAATATGCTCGATGGATTCCTTGGCAGTCGCCAGGATCCACTTTGAAGGTTGGAAGGTGATGCAGCGGCTGATGCATATCTTCTCTTAAGACTGTGCTTCAAAGGGGTATCGAAGGAAAAAACGACATGACATGGAAGGCCCGTGCTCCAGCGGCCAACTGTAGCCTCCGTCAAGTCTGTTGGCGAGTTAGACGATAAGAAACACCCATGGACCATGGGAGGGACTTCTATTCTCCTATAAAAGCTTATGGTATCCTATACTCAAACATATTCAATCTTAGCTGGTCATTCAAGTCACGCCATACAAGAACGAAGCACGTCACGAACTCTCCAAGGTTTTCCCTATTTGCTTACCTGCCCTTCCACTCTCAGAATCAACAGCTTGCGATCCTGAAGAACCTCCTTCCGAGCTACGCCACAAACCAGCGATGGGACATTGATTGTATCCACTGTGTTGATCCAGGCCATCGTGTCTTGCACCTTCCCATTCAATCTAATCATCAGGAGTTCGACGAATCAAAACAAAATAGATCGAAATAGGAGGGCGCAAAGCCATGTTTGCAATTTCCCAAGGGTGTTTAGGATCAATTGAACCATAATTGGAAGTCCAAAATCCAGAGAACTACAACACATACTTGGTGTGGCTAGTAGATACAGCTCTCATGATGTCAGCCTGCCAGCCTGCCTACAAGCGATTGGTCAGCGCTCGTCATGCAAGACTGAGTCACGCTGGCACCATGCCAGACATGCGAGCTGACATCAGAGAAAGGACAACAAAGGTTTTCAAAAACCTGTGACCAGATTCTCCGGTTTGTCAATTGGAACCGATGGTGTTGGACAACCTGTGCCGATAGAGTAACACAGTTACTACATGGTCCCTCCACACAACACGATAGTTTTGCCTCTCGGCACTCAGATTCCAGCTGGGGATCAAAAAACCTTTGGGGTGTTGCTGCAGTGTTGTTTCAGCTGTTTCCATCAAAGTGTGCTTTGGGAGCCGGTTTCGACCATGCCAAGGGCTCCCTAAATGTAGCTATAAATATGCTATAATCTCAGCACTCCCCAGGCAACTTCGGCTCCGGTGCCTCTTGAAGGCCGATGTTATAGTTTGCCAGCTCTGTGATATCGGGCACAATGCTATCATAATTCTCAATGAAGTTCTTGTCAGGCTTCCTCCGTTCCCCCACGCTCAGAGTCAACAAATTCAACCTACCTCATCCCTTTTCAGCCACTTCCCTTCTACTTGATGTAGTGTGCTGGGTTAGAGCCGGATTCGGAAACTACAGTAATCGGTCGGATTCTGAAACTAGGGTTCTGAAACTGGGGTTCTGAAACTTGGATTCTGAAACTGGTATTCTGAGACTGGGGTTCTGAAACTAGGATTCTGAAACTGGGGTTCCGAAACTAGGATTCTGAAACTGGGATTCTGAAACTTGTATTCTGAAACTGGAAAGTCAGATTCTGCAACTGGTATTCTAGAATCTGAAACTGGAAAATCACATTCTGCAACTGACATTCTGAAACTGGTATTCTGCAACTGGTGATCTCCACATCATGCGATAGCGTGTGCCTGTGACTTCATTTTCGAAGCGCACCCAAAGCAACGTCATTAGCCCCCCACCCAACCCCCCCCCCCCCCCAACCCCCTTGTCCCCATCGTGTGATCTTGACATCACGCCAACCCCTTATCATTCACAAAAGTTGCGGAGTCCTAGTGAGGGAATGCACAATTTTGCGGAATCCTAGTTGCGGAATGCCAGTTGCGGAATCCCAGTTGCAGAATCCTAGTTGCGGAATCCTGACAGTTGCGGAATCTTAGTTTCGGAATTCTAGTTGCGGAATCCTAGTTGCGGAATCCTGCGCAGTTGCGGAACTCGACTTTATCCTAATGTGCTGCAGCAAATTGGCACACTCAAAACCAAGTCGCACGAAATCCGGCCAGGCGAGGAGAACCTTGGCTAAGCGCAAGAGTGCACAGTATAGTAGACAAAATTTAACATCTCCGTCCATCATGGGACATGGAAATGGTTGTATAGGCTTGTCATGGCTTGTCCGGTGTTAGTTCAGACTGCTGTGGCCGCAGAAACAGAATTCTTGATCTGAATGCTGTAGTGCCATTGTTGCGGGCTCAAATGCAAGGGCGTGCTGCAGCGCATCAAAGGTCACTGGAAAGACTTAGAATGCGTATTCTATGTCTTCCTGCCCATTTAGCTTTAACTTGCTTTGGCCGAAACAGTGAATAGCAGTGCATGGGCAGGTGAGCATCTACTGCGAAGCCATTCCCGCACTCACGAAGGAGCCAGTTGCCATTCATTGTTGCTAGGTTGTCCTGGGTTGCTGGGTACAGGATGGTACAGGACATGTGACTTTGACAGAAGCACTTTGCTTTCCACACCCAGCAGCAGTCTTTACCTTGTGGCTGCGGGCGGTGCACATCTCCCCGACACACCACTTCCTGCGAGGGCCGACAAGGCCAGAATAGGTGTTGTCATTCCTGTTGAGGACAACCTTTTCAGACCAACCATAGCTATGGGCTATGATTCTATTAGGAACAAGAACCCGGGCATCGCTACTAGTAGCAAGGACGGTAGTAGCGGAGCAGTGTCCCAACTTCCAACATTGGGTCCTCTAATCCCATCGGGAATGAGAAACGCTGTGATTGCCCACGCACGGCGTTCAAGTAGGATCAAAGACGGATCTGGGGGGAGTGTGAGAATAGCGCACTACGGGCACTTGGAATATACCGGGACTGCATGATGGAAAAACGCCAACAAATACTCTGACCTGAGAGTGCACAAGGACAAGTGTCCATGGGTCCTCGTCAAGATATCTGGAGATCCCATGATCACGAAGGTTTCTGTATCTTGGCCGACGTAGCTGAACAGCCTGGTCAAGCAGTACAAAATAGATGGAGCGATGGCAGTTCATGGGTTGTTCATGATTCATCGTGAATTGCGCTGACACTGAGAGAATCATTGTACCAACGAATCACATCAACTAACCTCTCGCAAATAAAGATAACAACAAACCACCACCAGCATGAAATAAACAGCTAGAATTATTGGTCGATCAATCCTACAGGTCGACGACCGACTGACCCAAAGCGCCGAGAGCAAACCTGGTGAGATCGTTCAAGTCATCACAATCGACCTTAGGAGGGAACACAATGCATGCACAGGCAGTCAACCTTAGTCAAACCATGTCACCTAATATCCCTTGATGTGCATCTAAAGCGAAGTCTGGCCAACTGATTTAGAGGAATACAGTATAACCTGGATCATCACTTTCAGTATGAGTGAATCTAATCTAGCATCTCGCCAGCAAGCGTCCCGAGTTCCGAAAAAGATTCTCTCAAAAGCATCAGTGATGTTAGCATCTTGCAGGTGTTGCAAGTCAGGAATCTTCACGGCTCAATGGCCAGCTTCTGTGTCAACCAGGCCAGCCAGGTCTGGGCCCAACTTATCAACCTTGAACTGTTCAATGCAAAAAAAACATATCTTCACAGCCAAGGGACGAAGGTGGTAAACTTGGAGTTCCTCTTCTGCAGCTCCATTTTCAGCAAACGAGCCATGGATCCAGCTGCAATCTTCTGGTGACACAAGAAGTACCTGCGACAAAAGGATGGCACCGGTGGCACACTAGCCCACCTCCGCTATTAAATCAGAAAATTGTGCATAGCATAGCAGTTTTGGGGTTGCAAAATGACAGCATAGGGTGTTGGCCCAAGTATGGAACTGAAGCTTACTAGACCAACTTGCGTGTCCATTGCCTGTTGCCGGTGTGTTGTGTGCCAGAAAGGTTTGGCTGTCCTTCTTCATGCCCACTACCATTGTTTCAAAACACCAGTTGAAGAACGACAAGATCAAAAGGACATACTGGCAAGTTA